GATTTTCAGAGAAAACCAAGAAATTGACCCACATCACCTAGGCCCGTCGGAGCGGAAGGCCCGGGCTTAGGAGGGTGGGAAAGATACTCTCTACATAAATAAATCATGTCCTGAAATATTTCTCCTGCTGTGGGGGTCAGTCTTGTCTCATCTTCTATCTGCCAGGTGTTTTTAATCAGGAAGAAAGTCATAAAAAATAAAAAGAAACGCTTGTTCTGCACTTAGGATAAGCCCACCCCGTCCCACAGGGCGACCCGCCGGCTCACTGAGAGCGAAGTGACTATTGCAGACCCGTCTTATTTTTTTAAATAAACTTTTATTGATTTCAGAGAGGAAGGAAGAGGGAGAGAGAGAAACATCAATGATGAGAGAATCGTGGATCGGCCGCCTCCTGCACGCCCCACACTGGGGATCGAGCCCGCAACCCGGGCACGTGCCCCGACCTGGAATCAAACCGTGACCTCCTGGTTCATAGGCCTACGCTCAACCTCTGAGCCCCGCCAGTTGGGCTGATACCAATTCTAGAACCGAGTCCTCTTCCTACTTTTCTGGGTGCCTGAGCGGGTGCGGCAGCATCTACCTCTCTGCGGGCCGTGGGTCCTGGTCTAAGCCTGCTTGTTGCTGAGACAGTGGCTTGGATTTGCTGCTGCCACTAACATGAAAGCAGCCCTCAAAGGGACGGGTGGAGCCTGGAATCCAGCCCAACATTACAAACACGGACACGGGGGTCCCAGAGCTCCCGCGAGATGCAGGAGGAGGCACAGCGCCCCCAGCCGTGGGACCCTGCCAGCCGTCCAGCCCTGGAGTCGGCTCAGGCTGCGGGTCTCACTGCTGGCGGGCGGAGCACCGGCCCGGGCGATGGAGTCAGACTTCCGGCAGCTGCCTTCCCTCCGTGACCGTGAGGGATGGGGGAGTGCGATGTGTCGCCATCACCTTTCATCACCCTCAACTGGAGACACGGCCTCGGAGCCACCGCCTGGCGATAAAGCATCGATAAAGCATCGATAAAGCATCGATAAAGCATCCCGATGGAGGAGGAGGCGGCGGGGTGCACCTGTCGGCCGGGCCCGGGCGCCACGGGACCGCGAGTTATGGCGGTTCCACGGCGGCCCTGAAGCTCCACGCAGACAAACGCTTCTCCCGGGAAGCCCCGCGCTCCTTAAACTCCATCGCGGCTCCGCGCACACAGCCTCTGCGCACCTTAAGGTGCTGGAAGGCAGAGAAGCAGGGTCCCCGGAACAGCGACTGCCGCCAGCTCAGCTTCGTGAAGAGCCGGGGCGTGGGGGGGGGGCGTGGGGGGGAGGAGGAGGAGGTCCCTGCCTGGGATGACGGTGCTGGGGTTTCAGGCGCCGAGACCACGTTTACTTCAGAGGTGATTCTGAGCAGGTTCTCATGGAAGCGGAGCTCTGGGTGCTGGAAGCCCTGCTGCTCAGTGGGCAGAGCTCCGCAGCCCCGGGAAGATGCCGAGGCCGCCCTGGGCCCCGCAGGTCCCGTTCGTGAGCCAGGCCTGCGTCCGCGCTCTGCTTCTAACGGGTTTTCCGTTTTCGCGGCAGCTTTGCCCCTTCGCTATAGAAAGTTCTCCTAATGTTAATAGTAGGATTTTCTTGTTATGAAACGCGAAGATAATCAAGAAAGCAAATGTCACCCTGGCCGGTGATGCTCAGTAGTTAGAGCAGAGGTCCTCAGACTTTTTAAACAGGGGCCAGTTCCGTGTCCCTCAGACATTCCACACACACACTGCGGGCCCGGGACGAGCCGGCTGCTAAGCAGGACAGGCAGCCGCGGCAGAAACACCCGGCCGGCCGGATAAATGTTTTTGGTGGCTGCATGTGGCCCGCGGGCCGCAGTTTGAGGACCCCTGAGTTAGAGTGTCAGCCTGCAGACCTCAGGGTTGGGGGATCGATCCCCAGCCCAGTTAGGGCACGTGTGGGAGGCAGCCAATCGACGTGTCTCTCTCACATCCATGTCTCTCTCTCTCTCTCTCTCTCTCTCGCCCCCTCCCTCCATCCCCTCCACTCTCTCTAAAAATCAATGGAGAAAATATCCTCCGTGAGGATTAAAAAAAAAAAAAGGCAGCAAATGTCTCCCATAATCTTATTACTCAGAGATAGATGTTCCGCGTATAATTAAAAAACAAGCCCCGATGCCACGTGAACTATTGTGTCACATGCTGTTTCTAATCATAAAGATCTCCCCCTCACTCCTTGCTGTGCTGCACTCTGCTTCATAGCTGACCCACAGACAGGAACCAATCTCCTCCTGATGTCCTTTTGGGGAGAACATCCTGCAGTGAGCATCCCTGCACACGGGGCTGCCTCCCAGCCGGCGGACACCCCCAGGGTACCACCGGCCCGCGGACCCCTCAGTGGTCAGGCTCTCGTCTGTGCTGCTTCTTCAATACAAAAGGACTCCCACACCCTCAGCTTTGGGTGCCTGGAGCTTCATCTGGATAAACTCTCTAATCGGATGCATTTGCAAAGGACTATGCTGTTAAGAACTCTATTTGAGACGAGACAACTGGTTGCCTTCTGTGCCTGACAGCATTAAGAGCTAGTAGCAAATGAGCATTTCACTCTATTCCGAAAACTGTCGATTTTTTTTGGTGTTCATTGTCTCAAACGTGAGGTCCATAGAAAACAGACATGTGTGTGTAACCTCTTTCCAAAATATTCTTAGGCTGAGGTATTGGGGGTGACACATTATTAAAACAGTAGCACTGGCCCAGCCGGTGTGGCTCAGTGGTTGAGCGTCGACCTATGAACCAGGAGGTTCAATTCCCGGTCAGGGCACGTCGTGCCCAGGCTACAGGCGCAATCCCCGGTGTGGGGTGTGCGGGAGGCAGCCGATCAATGATTCTCTCTCATCATTGATGTTTCTCTCTCTCTCCCTTCCTCTCTGAGATCAATAAAAATATTTAAAACAACAACAACAAACCTACTGGCATGCTCTAAGGATGACACGTTATTTCTCAGGGTGGGATCTCTGCAGCTGGAATGAGCAGTATAACTGAGGTAAAGCCAGGCTGTTGCGGGAACACATTAACACCCTCCGCAGGTTTTCCGACATGTAGGTTGACAGTGAGGTTGGGAGGAGAGAAATAAAGCGAGAGGAGAGTTTGGTGCTTCCGGCTTTTCTGCTTTAGAGTTAATTTTGTTTCAGGCGCAGAACCGGAAGCGGGCACAGAGGCACCTTTGGAAGTGCCTTTTATACAAATTGGCCACCAAGTAGTCTCCGTGCATGCGACTGTCGCCTCAACAAAAGGCAAATCGTTTTCGGAGAGAACCACAACCAGGCCGTTAAGCCACTTTCTGACGCACAGAACCAGGTGGGCTGCACGGGCCGCTCATGTGAGAAGGCGCGCCTGTTACAGAGCTCAGAGGAGTGCGCTCTCCCATGGCACACAGACGACGAAATCGGCGGAGGAGACTCGCGGAGCGAACCTTACTGAGGAAGGGTCTACATGGACGCCCACCACAGTGTTAACCGGGGCTGCGTGTGGTCGTGGGCGTATTTGGGGGGCTGTTTACTTTTCCTTACAGCGCTGGACATTTACTCCTTTTGTAGTAAAAACAAAGAAGTTAAGGTTTTAGTAAGTCTATTTCCATTCCTCTACCTGCAGTCGTGGGATGACCCAAAGGTCCAGATCGGTCCCACTCATGCTACTTACCCTGTTCCTCCAACAGCCTGACAATAGAGAGACACTCCCACACCCACGGAGACACTCCTATGTCCCCGGAAAAACCTCCCACACCCACGGAGACACTCCCACGTCCATGGAGGCCCCTCCCACATCCCTGGCTGCTCCTCAAACCCCATCAAGGAAACGTACCACCAAGGGGGCCTTATTTTCTCTCCATCTTCTGGAGAACACCTCGTTTTGTCCACTGAGATATTTTTAAACTGTATACAAACAGCAGCATACAAAAATCAAAATATCCCACAACACGCTTACATGGACACAAAGAGCCGGCAAGTGTTTACTGAGCTAAGGGAGACGTATCAAAAGCAACGAACAGGCTCCCGCGCGGCTTCCTGGCTGTCCCAGAGCTGTGCCCAGAGCTCTATTTTAAGACGGAGTCACAAGGAAAACGCTGAAAACACACTGTTTACTGCTCACAAAAGCACAATGGGGAGGTGGAAACACGCCAGGAATAGGAAGGCAGGGAAACTGTTGTTTCAGCAAAAAAACAAAACCAAACAAAACCAAACAATAGAAACCCCAGCAAGTCACTGGAGGGTGTGGCCTAGGAAGCAGGCGTGTGGGAGAGAGGATGGCTCCGGGCGTGGGAAGGGATCTGTAGCTGTGACTACAGATGCTCAGCGGGAGAGCGCCCTCTCTTCTGATCCCATCACGGGGAGCAGCGGGGGCCCTCGGATGGCAGGCGCCCCTGGGGACACCACACAGGGTGAAGGGCTTCAAGAACATCCAGGCTTCTCCTTATGCCGTGAGGCGACAGCTTTCAACGGGAAGGCGGACACAATGTGTCACCGTAGCCATGTGCTCCGGAGAATACTGTAATGCCATTTTCTGGAAATTTACGTAATTTTATTTAAAAAGGGGTCTTATTTTTAACTAAAACAATAAAATAAATACACCACTGGAGACAAACTCGGAAAGATGAACTGAACCCTGGGTATTTCTCAAGGAAAGACGCACTTCTGTTCATCGGAAGCAGTCTCCTTCTGTCACCCAGGAATTGCAAAGCCGGCAGCGGCGGACACTGGCACGGGGCCGAGCAGGCGATGCCCGGTGCTGCCCCTCGGACACCAGGCTCTTAAAGCCGGGCTCCGTGCCAGACGCGCGGAGTGAGACAGTCCTGCAGAGCGACACGCTTTCTATCTGCCATTGGGTTCTCGTTTGAAGTTACTTCCAGCCTCGAATTCAAATGCGGCCCCGGAAGCCACGCCTGGCCTGTCCCCTAAGCGCCGATACAGGCACGCAGTAGCTGGCGCGCGCCTAACGCCCTGCCGTGCGGTAAGCAAGAATGAGCGCGACTCACTCGTTTCGTTCCAGATTCACGATCAGCTCCTCGCTCTCCAGGCGTATTCGAAAAGTCAGCACCTCTGGGTGATTCTGCAAGACAAACAGGGAGAGTCCGCTGAAAAACATCCCGCGTTGGCTTGCCAATATCGGAGTCTGCTCCCCAGGCAGAGGCAGAGGCAGAGGCAGCGGAGGGGGGGAAAACAAGGCTCTTCTGAGAGGATTCCAAGAACCCGGCCCCCAGGACAATCGGGGTGGAAAACTCACCACCGTGCAAGGCACTGACCGGCTGTGGTTCTGACCTTCCCACTCCCGTCCTCTGGCCACGCCCGGGGGCCCTTCCTGACTCTCCACTCCTTCCCACAACCAGCGCCTTCCTCGGTTTCCCTTCTCCACAAAGGGCGCCTTTCTTTCCCCAGATGCTCGGGTCCGAAAGGAGAGGTCCTCCCGGAGCACCAGCTCCGTCTTCCCCATCCAAAGGCCCCGGTGCTTTGCCGTCCGAAACACACCGCTCACTGTCCGGGTCCCGAGTCCCCCCACTCCAGCTCGGACCTCAATCACCTCTCACCTGCATGACTGCAAATCCCTGCCGACCCGGGTCCGCCCAGACCTGCCTTGGCTTCCTTCCCACTCATTCTCCACCGGGAGCCCAGGGGTGTCTTTAAAAGCACAACCGCGCCCTCGCCGGGTAGCTCAGTGGTGAGAGCACCATCCCCAACGCACTAAGTTTTCAGGCCCAATCCCCGGTCAGGGCACATGCAAGAACCAACCAGTGAATGCATAACTCAGGGGAACAACAAATCCATGTTTCTCTCTCTCAAATCAACAAAAAGATAAAATAAAAACACAACCTGATCAGCCCGCCCTTGCATATAAGGCGCCTGCACTCGCATCCCAACCACACCGAGAGTGAGCCCACTTGTGGACGTCAGTGAGTCATCTGTGGGTCCCCTTGTTTATTACGTCCATGAAGATGCCAGGCAAGTGACAGATCAGATAGTACCGGCGACGGAGGGAATGAGTGACCCGGGCACACAGCTCTACCAACCCCTTCTTCCTCCCCTCTCCTCTGGCCCAGGACGCCCAGGCCACGTGTGCCCATCTGTCAGGGGGAGGCGGGCATCTGTACTCTCTGTTCTGCTCCAGAAATCCCTCCCCAAGAACATGCCCCTGTGGCAGGTCCCTTAACCCGCATCCTACCCAGGGTTCCCTCCCTGAAACAGGCGTCAAATATGTCCCACTCGCTCCTGCTGAGCCAGGTCAGCGATTCAAAGTCCTTGCCCAAGACAACATCCACTGCCACCCCCCGCACCCCAACACACACACACACACAGATGCGCTCTGCTTCGGCCTCCTGCACCGGTGATGCTGGGGGTTTGCATGTCCCCGGGGCATTCCCCGCTAAGAGAATGGAAACCTCCTCGTGTTTATTTTTAAACACAAGCGCTGGGTTTGCCTTCTGATGATGTGCTAAGACCACGTTCAGGAGGGAGCCTGGAGGCATGCCCGACTGTCCAGGCGGATGCGGGGCAGGTTCGTTCACAAAGGATGCGGCCAGCCTAGTGAAGGGCCAAAGGCCAGCGCAGCCCAGGCGGAGAGGAAGGTTGCCCGGGGGCTTACAGAGCGCAAGGGGGGCGAGCTGGATCCGGTGGAGGGCAGCGGGCTCTCACCTGAAGGGCAGCAGGAGCTCAGTGCACAGGCTCTGACCCTCGCCCCACCCTGACCCTCGGGCCACCCTGACCCTCGCCCCACCCTGACCCTCGCCCCACCCTGACCCTCGGGCCACCCTGACCCTCGGCCCACCCTGACCCTCGGGCCACCCTGACCCTCGGCCCCACCCTGACCCTCGGCCCACCCTGACCCTCGGGCCACCCTGACCCTCGTCCCACCCTGACCCTCGGGCCACCCTGACCCTCGGCCCACCCTGACCCTGGGCCCACCCTGACCCTCGCCCCACCCTGACCCTCGGCCCACCCTGACCCTCGGCCCACCCTGACCCTCGCCCCATCCTGACCCTCGGCCCCACCCTGACCCTCGCCCCACCCTGACCCTCGGCCCCACCAAGACCCTCGGCCCCACCCTGACCCTCGCCCCACCCTGACCCTCGCCCCACCCTGACCCTCACCCCGCCTTAGTGCTGGGGGAGGTTTCAGTCTAGTTCAGACAGCCCGCCACCCACTCCCCAGTGCTGCTAACTTCGGTGGCATCGGTTTTGCCTGCCTTTGCTGTGGCAGTTTATCCGTAGTTTTCTAAGATTCCACACATCTGAACGGCACTCAAACTCCATAGTTCAAGAGACTTGTTTATAACAGCATCTCAGCTACACGGAATTAGCTGACCACATGCTAAGTTTTAAGAGAAAATGGGGGGAAAAAAGGAGAGAAAACAGATTGTAAATTCTAATATCCAACGTTACAATAATTAGTTAAGTGAAACAAAATTTAAACAAAAACCACAACTGCAGGTCCCTGGAGTTTTCAGAAAATACTCCCGCCTGCCTGCATTAACTAGGCCCTGAGATGGGGTGGAATCCTAGAGGGTGGAAGCTACTCACGTTCTTCTTAGGGCGGCCATTTGACATCTTTTTGTAGTTTCCTGTGTTTAATGTTGTAGCCATTAGCCACATATGGCCATTTAAGTTTAAATTAATTAAAACCAAGTAAAAATTTAAAACCGGTTTATCATTCGCAACAGACACATTTCAAGACTCAATGGCAGCAACCTGTGGTTACATTGCAGACGGAGAATATTTCCACCTTCCCAGGAAGTTCACCGAAATTACGATGGTCATCGGGTATCTCTGAGTCAGCAAAAAGACCAAGATTGCATAGCCCAACCGCTGCATGAGTACTAGACTAGTTCAGTTATTAATGCCCAAAGGGTTTGTTTTTAAAATATGCTTTAAGAAGATGCTTTTCAATCTTAATTGATGGGAGATGTTATTATTTTAAACTAGAGGCCTGGTGTATGAATTCGTGCACCAGTGGGGTCCCTCGGCCTGGCCTGCAGGATCAGGCCGAAGCTGGCTCTCCGACATCCCCCCTGAGGGGTCCAGGATTGTGAGAGGGCGCAGGCCAGGCTGGGGGACCCCACTGGTGCATGATCGGGGCCGGGGAGGGACGTGGGAGGTTGGCCAGCCGGGAAGGGACCGCTGGAGGGCTCCAGGGCATGTCTGGCCCGTCTCACTCAGTCCCGATCTGCCAGACCCCAGCAACAAGCTAACCTATGGGTCAGAGCATCTGCCCTCTGGTGGTCAGTGCATGTCATAGTGAGCGGTTGAGCGGCCTTAGCATATCATTAGCATATTACACTTTGATTGGTTGAATGGTTGACCAAACAACCAGACACTTAGCATATTAGCATTTATTATATAGCATATGTTTTTATTGATTTCAGAGAGAGAGGAAGGGAGAGAAATAGAGAGAGACATTGATGAGAGAGAAACATTAATCGGCTGCCTCCTGCATGCCCCCTACTGGGGATCAAGCCCACAAAGCTGGCATGTGCACTGAGAGGGAATAAAACTGTGACCTCCTGGTAGATGCTCAACCACTGAGCCACACCGGTTGGGGGGGGGGTGATATTATTTGTTAAGTGATTTCTTAAGTTTGAGAGTTAAACTGATAAATTCCCATGTATATGCAATGCTTATATATATTTTCTTGGTTTAAAGAGATTTTGTTTTTTACAAATTCATTCTAGCAAATGACTACAACTTTAGAGATCTGGTGAAACCACACTTCTTAATTGATATATTTGGCAATGTCTGGTGTTTATAAGAATTGTATGGATTTCTGAGTGTTTGCTGAACTTTAAAAATCCCTATTTCTATTCCTATCCTCTGCAACGTTAAACACATCACTTGTGCGGATTTTAACACAGTGTGCAAAAGTGTTTCTAAGACACCCATTTGCTTTTGAGTCTGTCACAGGGACTTCTAACTAAATTGGCCTGTACCTTCTGACCCTTGGGTTTAATTAGAGACACACAGGATGTTTTCTCCAAGGTTTGCAATTTATACTCATTAATCATATCTTAGAAAGACAAGGTATTAATTAAATTTACAATGAAATATTAGGACAAAAACATGTATCATTTTTCTGTAAAGATGTACCCAGAGTATATATGTACATCTGTATTTTATATGTCTGTGTAAATAACTTAATTATAAATTGTTTGTCTGAGATATTGACACACATGGCTATTTTAAAGAGAAATCCTGACACTTGTATTTGTGAGTAAATATAAGATATTTGCAATACCCATTTATTCCCCCAAAGAAGTGAACTAGTTTAAACATTAACATTTGTACTAATTCCACAGAACGTCCCTGTAGGAGCTGTTCTAACATTTCAATGTCAACATTTTCAAAAGAATACATTTCCCCCAGGGAGGTAAAAAGATCTTGATCTGTATATTTTAGTTGAGGATCTGAATGGTACAGGAGAAATCAATGGAGAAGGAGAATGGGGAGCTGTTTTGATTCAAATGCACTAATTGCTTTAGATTTCTTAGTTTAAAAGCACGCATTCATTCCATTTTCTTTTGATTTTCCTGCACGGGAGATAACGATCCAGTGCTGGTTAAATACAGCGATCCTTTTCTTAACGATGACATATTGATTACCCTAGTGGAACTGGGTCTTTTATTGAATGCTTAACAGACTCGCCTTTGCTGAATCAATCAATGAAATGCTAATCAATAAGCTGGAAATGTTTGGGCAGTCATAATTCTATTTTTCTAATTGGGACCGATATACAATGTATAAGTACAGCTTTAAAAAACAACAATACAATCATCATCAGGGTACCCACCAGCCAGCTGAAAAATCTTCTTAGAAGGCCCTTTCTCAGATGGCTGGGCTTCCATCACCAAATGCCGCCGACGGGGTAGCTCAACCAACAGGAGTTTATTCCCGCCCAGGTCTGGAAGCTAGAAGTCTAAGGTCGAGGTCTGGTTTCCTGTGAGGTGTCTCTCCTGTACGTTTCTTCCAGAGCGGAGTCTGGGCGGGGTCCCCCAGGGGTTTTCCTGGGCAGGTCTGCAAATAAGGCTCCGGCGTTGTCCATCGGACCCCCAGGGGCCCTGTGCTCTCT